GCAGCGGCGGCCTTATCCATTGCGAGGCTCTGGGCGGCAGATCTTTGCGAGGCCCTTGTCCTTTGTGCAAAGTATGTGAATTGAAATAGTAGGCACTTATTAATATTAATATATACTGTACTATAAATTAAATTTATTTTATTGTTATAACTAATAGCCAAAGATAAAATAAAAAGTTTTAAATATCAACTTTTTTCTACTTGGTTGTTGCGCGAGGCCCCTCCAAGAGCGAGGCCCCGGGCCATTGCCCTGCTCGCCACCCCCTAAGGCCACCACTGGGAACACGTGAAGTTAATAAATGGTGGTTACCAAAGAATTTTTTTGGACAAACTGTGTCTTCAATTAAACAAACCTACTACAAATTAGGTGACAATTGCTCTAATAACCAAGTGGAATCAGTTGCTATTCTGAAAGCTATGGACTATACTCAATCTCTCCAGAATACCATCAAATGCAGGAGCATCAGCATCTTCACCTGATTAAAAACAAGAACACTTTTCTTCCAATTATTAATGACATCCTTGGGCTTTCTCCAAAAACTGCAATGACCAAAGGATATTAACTTCTATTGGATGAAGGGCCACTCCGGTTGTCCTGGGAATGAATGGACAGACTGGCTTTTTAAGCTAGCTTACTGACGTTTCCTACTCCTCTCTCCCTGTGTCATGGGTTTCCAGTGCCCTGAAACTTTATGTTAATATCAAATGGCAAAGTGATTGGGACACTTCTGACAGAGGGAGGTGGACACACATGCTCATTTCCATGGTGGACAGGCCGAATCTGACTCACTTCAACACAATTCATGACCAGTCATGGGCATTTCATTGATTATCTGAATATCAATCAAACGAAACATTGGTTGATCAAGTGTTGCAGTCGGCAAATTTAAATTTTCACTGGTGCTGTGGTGCTGCAATATTTGGCCATGTCTTGAGCTACTCCAATATTATTTTTGTTGGTGTTCATGTTTTAGCTGGCAGCACTGGCTCGACCATGAGAGCGT